GGAGTTTAGGGCTGTTGTACATAGGGTCGCTATGAGTCGCAGGCGACTCGATGGCACATAACAACAACAACAACAACAATTCATTCATTATTATACAACTTCCTCTCTCCCCCTTCCTTCCCCTCCCCCAGTCCTCTTTGCAATGTACCTCTTGTTATAATGCCTAATCATATATTCCTTTAAATAGCTCTCTCTTATTTGTTCCAATACAGTGTTCATTATCTATCCACTTTTTTCCTATACTCCTTCCGACCCTCTGATGTCAGTCCTGCTTCATAACCGTGGTGTTATGCAGTATTTGTCCTTTTGTGACTCAGACATTTCACTCCAGGGTCATCTATGCTGTGTAATGTTTTACAGGTTCATTATTTTTCAGTGCTGCGTAATATTCCATTGTGTGAATATACTATAGGTTTTTTATTACTTCATTTGTTGATAGGCACTTGCATTGTTTCCATCTCTTTGCTGTTGTGAATAATGCAACAATAAACATGAGTATGCATTTATCTGGATGGTGATTCTGGTTTCTTTCGGGTGTATTCCCAGCATTACAATTTCTGAAGAAACGATGAAAGTTACACAAGTGTTCAGGTCTTTGATTTGTAGGATCACTATGAATCATCTACAACTCAAAGGCACTTAATAAAAACAAGAGTTTTATGGTTTTAGATTTAGAGTTTCCAGAGGCAAGCTGTTTCAGAAGTGGATGTCACCACTGATTCCCAGGTTGTTTTAATCAAGGAGCTCCAGCAAACAGTGTCCACCATGGGTAACCATTATCACATTTGACACATCAGTGTCACAGTGTTCAGCTTCACAGCAATCTCTGTACAGCAAATGCACAGACCAATGCTATACCACTTAGAATGTTTGACCAAAACAGTTAAAACCAGGTCTGAGGGCCGCAGATTAAAATCACTCACCTTTCGCTATAGCATAACTTTCTATCCACTAGGCCAACAGAGGTCTCTCTATGTTGTTTAAAGCTCTTGGGAGGGGAGAAAGAAATCAGAGCAGAGCTTTGGGACTTTCTCCCACCACCGCAACCCAGAAGGGGATAGGTTAACAAGCACAACAAATGTAGGAGCCACAGGAAACAAAATAGCTAACAGGGACCTCATAAAAGTTCAATCTTTGTGCTCCTCAAAAGACTGTCAAAAGAATAAAAAACAATCGATGGCTACAGGTGGAAGGGGGACCTTCGAGAACAGATTAACTTAAAGCCAAACATCTATTTATTTAAAATATATTCAGCTTCATAGTGACAGAGTAAGACTATTCTATAGAGTTTCTAAGGCTGTAATCTTTAAAGAGCTCTAGTGTAACCATGTACTAGGTTGATAGTTCAAACCCATCAGCTATTCCACCTGCGTATCCTTGAATAATGATTTACAACCTTGGACGCTGTAAATGGAGGGTCTCCGTGAGTTGGAACCTACTCCGTGGGAGGGAGGAGTTCAAGTTTATGGACAAAGGTGACCACATACTTTCTTCCCGGGTAACAGCGAGTGAGTTCAAACCTAAGGTCTTTTAGTTAGCAAAGGAATGCTTAAGTCCTCTTTAGGTTAACATTTAAGAGTGCAAATCAGGGAGCTCTGGTGGCCTAGTGGCAAGAAGCTGCACTGCAATCCAGAGGTATGTGGTTCGGGTCCACTAGATGCTCTGCTGGAGAAGGAGGGGCAATCTCCTCCTGTACCTGTCAGATCTGATTCGATAGTACACACACACAAAATAATATAATAAACAAAAAAAAATAAGAGTGTAATTCATTGGCTGTACCAGTGCTATTTCCCCCAAAAGACCCTGTTGTTGTTGTTAAATGTCATGAAGTGGACTACAACTCATACATCAAACAGATCAAAACCTTGCCCTGTTGTGCACCATCCTCACAATCTCCATTGTGTTTGACCCCAGTGTTGCATTTACTGCATCAGTCCATCTAGCTGAGGCTCTTCCCCCCCTTTGCTGAACGTCTATATTTTCCAGCATGATGTTCTTTCCCCAAGGACTAGCTGGCCACTCCTGACAACTTGCCCAGAGTGAGTGAGATAAAGTGTCAGCGTCCTTGCCTCTCAGGAGCACCCTGGCTGCATATCCTTCCAAGATAAGCATATCCTGAATATCTTTCCAAGACAAACATGTATGGGTTTTTGACCGTCCATGAAAGGTGTCAAATTTTTTTTTCAGTCTTCTTTATTCATTGCTCAATTTGCAGCAAGCATTTGAAAACAGTGTAACACAGATCAAGTGCCTCTTAGTCTTTAAACTCCTATCTTTGCTTTTAAGCACTTTAAGAAGATCCTTGATAGCAGATTTCCCAACGCAACACATGGTTTGATCTCTTGCTGCTACTGTAGGTGTTGATTGTGGATCCAAGTAAAATTAAATCATTGACAAATCAAAATCCCAGAACACTTAATTGTGCCCAAGTGAAACCTATACATAGACCAAGAAGATCTTAGCAATTATCCAAGTGGAACAAGGGAGCTCTACGTGGTTTAAAACCAGGAAAGTTGTGTCAGGTTTGCAGCCTTTCCCCAAACCTATTCAATCTGTATGCTAAGAAAATTATTGGAGAAGCTGAACTCTATGAAGAGGAATGTGGCATCAAGATTGAAGAAAGACTCATCATCGGCAACATGCTATATGCAAATGCCACAATTTAGCTCGCAGAAAGTGAAGAGGACTTGAAGTATTTACTGAAAGGCCACCTGGGGACTGGGCGGCATCTTGTGCTGACCGCACCTTCTAAGAGACATTCCAGTTTACCTGGTGTAAGACAACTATGGCCAACCAGAAGGAAACCAGGCATCAACCACATATTGCATGACTGAGCAGCTCCCTCATTAGGAGCTAACAAAGGGCATCCAGTCAACTTTCTCCATGGAGAACTGACCACCAGTGTGACCACCCTACCCCAAACCCTACCTATAAAGTTTAGCCTGTAATTTTCCTCACTGGTAACTTCGCTGCCTGACCCTGCCTTTTTCTGGCTTCAGACAGTAAATCTGCCCCAGAGCCACTAAGAAACTCTTTTGTTTCACTTCGCCCAGTTCTCTGTGCCTTTTTTACCTTACACTTACAGCAGAAGATCAAATACTACAGCCTTCAATGTGGATTACACCTCAACATCAAGAAAACAAAAACCCTCATCACTGGGCTAATAGGCAAAAGGCCATGGTGAGGATTAAGCATGTTACTGTGAGTCAAACCTTGGACTAGCGTGAGCCACAGAGAGACAATGCTCAGCACGTGGGGGGGGGGCTGCTAGGACATCGGACCTGTGAGGAGCACTATTATTATCCAGCTTTACAAGTGACTCGCTTAAGCTCCTGTATTTGAACCGAATTTGCTGTGGGGAGCCCTGTTCCGTGAAAGAAGTTAAGGCAGCCCCCAACCGGAGAGAATTCCTGGAGTGGCCCCAGGGCCAAGGGCCTGCTCTCTAGGGGTCACCTTCCAGAATCGGCTAGCAGGAAGTGAGGCCTTTCTTGTTTCTGGGGGTCACCTTCCATGATCCTCCTCCCACCCAGCTGGGATGGACCACCAGGTGTGCAGGTGCGCAGTGGGCGCTCCGCCCCTGGCCCGCCCCTGATCCCGCCCTACCGACCACGCCCCCCCGGCGGGCGTGGTCAACTAGCCCTCATAGGGCCGCGGCCCCGCCCAGCAGGGCCACTGGAAACCGGACCATCCTGAGCGTGTGCAGCCGGCGGCCCCAGCCCGCCAGGACACAGCTGCAGGTACCCGGAGCCGATCACTGGTGTGAGTCACAGGACAAGGGGGGCCAGGTGGGGAGGAGCACGTGTCTGGGGGCACAACAGGTGGCCTGTGGCCTTTCCCCCAGTTCCAGGTGACAGGAAGCGAGTCTACTTCCTCAGGTCCGCCTGGGATCGAGGGAGCAGGCGGGGTGGATTCCAGACCCCTACCTCCTGCCTCTCTGGTCCCATAGACTGAGCTCCTACTGTTCTCAGCGAGTCTCTCTCTCCACACCACCGGGACAGCCAGCCACTCAGATCAAATCAACTCCACGTGCCTGAGACTCAGGGGTGGGACCGTGGAGTGGCTGCTCTGTCAAGGTCAGTGCTGTGGGAGTCCCAGCAAGGAGAACTCACTGTCCCGCAGGCCATTCTGGCCTCCGATATCTCCGTGCTTACTCCCTGGCCGCCGAGTCCAGGAAAAGTACATCGGCTGACCCTTCCACAGATGGAGAAACTGAGGTCCAGAGAGGGCAGTGGCCAGTGAGCCCAGGCAAGATGAGCAACTATAGCCTAGGATGAGGTGGGCAGGATGCAGCACACACCACTGCCCCCCTGAACCCCCGTTTTTCCCCTGTGCATGACGAGGACATGAGATGAGGTCCACTATGTGTGCAGCAAAGGTGGGCAGAGTAGCCTGGCTGCCAGCACACCTAACTCCTTGTCTCTAAGCTTTTTTTCCTCTGCCTCAGCCTGTCTCTCTGTTTGTATCTGTCATCTGCATAGCACAGACTGGTGATGCATCTTCCTCCAACCTTGATGCCTCATTCTTCTTCCTATAGTCCAGCTCCTCTAACAATTTGCTCCGAATACAAATTGAATAAGTATGGAGAAAGAAATTTCGCTTGTAAAAAGTGAAGAGGATTTGAAACACTTGTTGCAGAAGATCAAAGACTACAGCCTTCAATATTGATCACATCTTAACATGAAGAAAGCAAAATTCCTCACCTCTGGGCCAAGAGGCAACATCATGATAGATGGAGAATAGACTGAAGTTGTCAATGATTTCTTCTTGTGTGGATTCACAATCAATACCCAGGGTAACAACAATCAAGAAATTAAAAACATATTGTATTGGGGAAATCTGCTGTCAAGGACCTCCCAAAGTGCTAAAACCCCAGTGCTGTTCGTTTAAAGATTCAGATCTGCCTGATCCTAGCCACGGTATTTTCAATTGCTTCCTATGCAACTGAAAGTTGGACAGTGCATAAGGATGGTAGAAGAATTGATAGCTCTGAACTGTGGTGTTGAGGGAAAGTACTGAACACTGACTGCCAAATGAACAAACAAATCTGTCTCGGAGGAAGTGTGTCCAGGCTGCTCCTCAGAGGCAAGGGTGGTGAAACATCATCTCACATATTTTGGGAATGTTGTCAGGAAGGCCCAATCCTTGGGAAGATATCATGCTAGGAAATGTGGAGGAGGGTCAGAGAAAGAGAGGAAGATTCTCAACGGGATAGATTGAGGGCGTGACTGTCACACTGGGCACAATCGTGTCAGAGGTCGAAGTGGTCCAGGGTGGGGCAAGGCTCAGATCTGTTGATCATAGAGTCAATGAGTCTACTTGACAGCACATGACTTGGGTGTGTTTGGTTCTAATTGGTGGTTTGAACCTACCCTCGGGCTACGAAATATAGAACCAGAGATCTCTGTAAAGATAACCCACACAAGCCTGTTTGTGTCAAGGCACAGAGAGTGCTAACACAAAGATTGATATTTTGAACCTACTTAGTAGTGCTGTGGAAGAAAGACCTGGTGATCTGCTTCCATGTGGGTCACAGCTAATAAAACCCTATGAAACAGGCTACTCTATTGCACATGGGGTCAGCTATGAGTCAGAATTGACTCGATGGTAATAAATGTGGCTAGGGTTGATCCTTCTGTTTGTCTTTCTTAATGTTCCCTCTGTCTGTCTGTTTGTCTCCCCCCACCGCCGTATCTCTATCTCTAACTCTCCCTCCACAGTTCTGAGTTTTTTACTCTCTGCTCTGTCTCCCTGATGTCATGACCCTCACCTAGTCATATCAGGAGTCTCAAGTCTCTCCCACTGAGAACTCTGAGTTGAGGAACTGGAACCCAGGACAACACTGACCTAGGAGCAGGTGTGCCCAGCACCAAGGGTGCCAACTGGCGCCATCCAGGCCTCTGACCGACACCACCTGGGAGTGGGCCCTCATAGTCACAGCAGGCACCCTACGATCTGACCACTGGGCTCTCTGCCTGCCAGCTGCCAGCTGCTTCGTGCAACACGAGAGGGCCCAACCCTTGACAAGCCAGATGGTCACCTGGGCACTCGGGAGAACAGAGCCCTGCTCGCATGGAGATGACACTCCAGTGGGAGACAGGCATTCAGAGATAGATGAACTCCAGGAACCAAGCTGACTTATAATAAACTGAGGCAAAGAGGGAAGGCCGCGGGCCGGGCTGCTTGGGCCCTGTGGTGCCAAGAGTGGACAAGCCTTCCTGTCCGAACCTCTGCTTTTCTCGTATCTCACTCAGCCTACTCTTCCTTCTATAAGATCTTGGTTTTAAATGCAAGAATGAGAGGCCTCTCATCTTTATACCTGCAGCTCATTTCCTCCACTCCCTGGCCCAGGACTGAGAAGGCTGAAGGAGAACAGAAAGGGAGCAAGCTCAGCCTGACCCTCCTGCCCCTTCAGAGCCCCTCGTGGTCCCCTCAACCCCAGTGCCCTGCTAAGGCTGGGGTAAGGGGACTGGGTCTGCAATCAGACGTGCCTGAGTATAGATCTCAGCTCTAGATCAGCAGCTGTGTGACTGCCTTGAACAAATTGTTTTCCCTCTCTGAGCCTCAGTTTCTGTGTCTGTAAAATGGGAAGAATCATAACCCATATTTCACTGTGATTGAGAAGATTTGTTGGATAATCTATGTTAAGACCTTAGCAGAGGACCTGCAGATAATGAACAATAGCTGTTGTAATTATTGCTAGAGTTCTGGTGGCTCAAGGATTAAGCACGTGGCTGCTAACCGAAAGATCAGAGGTTCGAGCCCACCAGCCATTTTCAGGAGAAAAATGTGCCAATCCGCTTGAGTAGAAATGTACAACTTTGGAAACTTTATGGAGCAGTTCTGCTTTGTCCTACAAGGTCTCTGTGAATCAGAATCAACTTGATGGAAAGGAATTGACGTGCTTTTGCCTTTTATTATTATTATTATTATTGTTATTATTGTCATTACTAAGAGGCCCGTGGGCATCACAAAAGGTTTGGTATTCAACTTCTAACTTAAAGATTGGCAGTTTGAACCCACCCAGCAGCAATGAAGAGGAAAGATCTGGTGCTTTGCTTCCAGAAAGATCACAGCCAGAAAACCTCCATAGGTTGGAATTTTGCTGCTAACTCAAAGGTCGCCCCTCGCTGATGGTTCGAATCCACCACCATCTCTGCAAGACAAAGATAGGCAATCTCTTCCTGTGCAATTTACAGCCTTAGCAACCTAGCTGGAGGGTGAGCTGTAAATCAGTTCCAACTCGATGGCGATGAGTTCGCATCTGAGAATTGACTTAACAGCCACCAGCTTTCTAATAGTCTTAACAGGCTTCACTCCTGTGTCTCCCCAACCCTGTATGATTCTCCCCACAACAGCCAGTACAGTCCTGTTAAAAACTAATCCAGAACCAATCCTTTCTCTGCCCTACGAAGTTACCTCTGGATCAGAATAAACCCCAAGGCCTCCCCTGGGCTGCAGGGTCTCTGTGATCATCCCCCATCTCTCTGACCTGTCTCCTCCCCTCCCCCCATCACTCCCACCGCAGCAGGCACTCTGTCCTTCTGGTGTCCTTTAAACACTAAGCTCTATTTCTGAGCCAGGTCAACTGTGATCCCACCCCAGGGCCTTTGTACTTGCTGTTGCCTCCCCCATACCACTCTTTCTCCAGAGGCATCACTCTTGAGCTTTTTCCCCCAATGACTTGGTTTATATTCTCAATTCCTTTTCCCTAATAGCCTGCTTCCCCTACCCCCTCTGTTTTCTGCATATCCCTGAGACAAACGATATTGCCTAATGCCTTTGAGTCAGAAACGATTCATAGCTGACCCTGCATTCTATTTCCAAGGCTGTACATCACATGGGAAGAGATTGCTCATTTTTCTCCCTCAGAGCCCCCCATGGATTTGAACCACCAAACAGGCGTGGTCACTGGGTTAGCAGTGTGATTCCCTATGGATTGCATCACTAGAGTGTCCTTCAGCATATGGTAGGTGCCCAATAATTATTGGTAAAATGAGCAAACAAGAACTGCCAGGTCATTGTAGAAAAAACTCCGTAGCTAGATAAGCAAGATAAATGAGGGAAAGATCCAAGTTGTCATCAATTTCCTTTACTTGGATCCACAATCTACACCCAGGGCAGCAGCAGTCAAAAAATCAAAAGACATGTTACATTGGAAAATTGACTCTTTATAAAGACCTTAAGAGCAAGGATATCCATCTTAAAATTAAGGTACCAGATCTAAGCCATGGCATTTTCAGTTGCTTCCAATGCATCTGAAATTTGGACAATGAATAAGAATGACAGAGGAGGAGTTGATGCCTTTGAATTGTGCTGCTGGAGAAGAGTAGTGAACATCCCATGGACTGCCAAAAGAACGAACAAGTCTGTTTCAGAGGAAGTACAACCAGGGCACTCCTTAGAGGCAAGGATGGTGAACTCCACCTCGCGTCCTTCCAAGGGCCAGTCCTTGGGAAAAAACCTCATGCTGGGAAAGGTAGAGAGAGGACCAGTGAAAGGAAGGAAGACCCTCAATGAGATGGATTTTCACAGTGACTGTAACAATAGGCTCAAGCATATGAGAGATCATGATGATCTCTGTACAAGAGCCAGGTTCAGGTGTGTTGTTTATAGGGTCGCTGTGAATCGTAGTTCACGGTACCTAACGATACACTCAATTTCAGTCATTTTGAGTCACTCCTCAGTTCTTTGAAGCTACCAAGCCTTTGCACATATTGTTCTTTCTGCTATTTTCTCCTATTTTCATTGCTGGTTGTTCCTCATGATGTCTCCAGGTCCAGGAGCAAGTGGCACTTTCTAGAAACAGAGGTAGTTCATTGAGGCTTATGAGGGTTGAGGAGGGCAAGGGGACCATCATGCTTGCTTTCCAGATAGGGAGACTCCACCCAAATCACTAGGCTGAAATCACACAGTTGTGGTGGCCCCTGGGCCAGCCCACAGAAAAGCCACCTCTGTGGGAAGGAGGGGATTTAGGCTTCTGTGCACAGAAAATGAAATTCAACCTCCTCACCTGCCTAAGCTGCCCTCATCTCCCTTCTACTCCAGCCACACTGGCCTCAGGACCTTTGTACAAGCTGCCTATGTGGAGTTTTGGGGTATTTTTACATTACTTTTCAAATTTTAAAACTGTTCCTATATTTGATCCAGCTATAATTGTGGTGGGCTTTTTAGTTTGTTTTCTTTTGGTCTAAGAAGTGAGAAAGGTATGTATCTCTCCTCCTCAAATTATCAAATTATTACCCAATAGCAAATCTTATTTCCTAATTTCTCTAGGTAGGAGAACTGCTGCTGTTTGTAAATGTGTAACTGGTCACCTTGGTGGACTCTCATTAGTTAATTGCCCTTTCAGATGGCAAATGGGACCAGATTCTGTAAATCCGCCTCCTCCCTTTAATTATTTGCTTATCCGTCTTTATTAGTGATATTAGTTATTACCTCCTCTCATCCTTGTTTATTTTGTACCTTTCTTTGACTGTAGAGGCGTGACACAGCAGACCTACCACTGTTCAGGGCTTCTGTCCGTTTCTCTGGACAGGTCCCAGGTTGTCTGAGGGAGATAGTCTTCAAAATGTTGACATTAACTTCAGTTTGAATCCATCTGAATTCATCTAGAATTATAATCTTAACCATGAAATCGCTCGGCTTCTCAAATTATCCTCTGGGGACCAAAATCCACATCAAAACCTCTTTCTGCTTTGACATTTCTCTGCAAGAAGTTTGCCCCATTTATGCATATTAACTTTTTGGTGTCCCTTAAATTATCTCAACAAGTACTTGGGTTAATTTTTTTTGCTTTGACCATAGATCTCAGGACAGGACCTGAGCTCCTGAGTCAGGGCCTAGATGTACAGGAGGTAAATATGTTATTTATTAGTTTATTAGTTACTAGAATCAGGATACATCCTTGAATATACTCTAATGTATGCTTGAGCCATTGTTTTGTTGGATGTAAAATAGGTAGAGCTTCAGAAAGATAAAAATTTGTTTTTAGTTTAAACAACGGCATTAAAGAAACAAACAACAAAATTGAGGGGTAGGCAGAACAGAGGTGGTACAGCTACTCTGTATTGTTGTTGATTGCCGTTGAGTCAAGCACAACTCATAGCAACCCTATGAACAAAAGGCCTGAAGCCTTTCTATAATTATCGACATTTATCAAAGTTCATAGAGTTTCTGGAGGCATGTTGTTTCGGAAGTGGATGCCACTCCTGCTTCCACTCTGTATTACCAAGTCCTAAAAGATAGATACAGGCCATGGTCTTCGCAGTCACCTGTTATGCATCAGAGAGTTGGACAATGACAAAGGAGGATAGAAGGAGAATTGATGCCTTTGAGTTGTGATATTGGTGATGAGTATTGAGTATACTATGGACTGCCAAAAAGCTGAACAAATATGTCTTGCGGGAAGTGAAACCAAGGTGCTCCTTGAGGGAAGGATGGTGTGTTTCACGTGGTCTCACATCTTCTTTGGGCCTGTTGTCAGGGAGGGCCAGTTCTTGGGAAAAGACATCATGCTGGGAGAGATAGAGAGGGTCAGCGAAAGAGAGGAAGACCCTCAACAAGACGGGCTGACACAGTGACAGAAATTGTGTTACTTGAGCATGGAGGAGACCAGGACCATGGTGCTGGCAAGGCGAGAATCTGACCTGTTCACAGGGTCACTATGAGCTATGGCTGATCTTACAACAACTTACCTGCTGGGGAGACAAGCCACGTGTGTACACTGTACCTCGCAAATCTTCTGTCTTTTGACTTTGCTTTTGGTACTGTTTACCAAGCAGCAGATTTTTTTATTTTTTTTTTCCTGGTCTGTTTGCTGGTTTTTGTTTGTTTCCACTGTCATGCCATCAAATACATCAAACTTTCTTTTTGTTCACTCTGCATTGACAGCTTGTGGCGGAGAACACTTTCTCCGGTTAGAAAGAAATTTGTCTGTGTTTTCGGCATCTAAGAAGCCAACTTGTCTACGGGTAGGAAGATGACAGTAGAAAATACAGAAGCCCAAAACATAGTTTCTTCTTGGAATGTAAACTTGAAATTGCTCACCTGTTGTCTTACCTCTGTCACCCTTCCAGGCTGATCTGAGGAGGTGGGTCCCCCGGACCAAGGCAGACAGCACCATGGCCTTCCTGATTCACCTGCTGGTCTGCATCTTTGGAACAGGCTCCTGGGTGGCCATCAATGGGCTCTGGGTAGAGCTGCCCCTGCTGGTGACTGAGCTGCCCGAAGGCTGGTACCTGCCCTCCTACCTCACGGTGGTCATCCAGCTGGCCAACGTCGGCCCCTTCCTGGTCACCCTGCTGCATCACTTCCGCCCCGGCTGCCTTCCGGAGGTGCCTGTCATCTTCACGGTGCTGAGTGTGGGAACCGTAACCTGCACGCTCTTCGCCTTCCTCTGGAACACGACCTCCTGGGTGCTGGACAGCCACCACAGTGTCGCCTTCCTGGTTCTCACCTTCTTCCTGGCCCTGGTGGACTGCACCTCCTCCGTCACCTTCCTGCCCTTCATGAGCCAGCTGCCTGCCCGCTACCTCACCACCTTCTTCGTGGGTGAGGGGCTCAGCGGCCTCCTGCCTGCTCTGGTGGCTCTCGCTCAGGGCTCGGGCCTTACCACCTGCGTCAGCGTCACTGACACCACCCCAGGCCCCATGATCAACAGAACATTCGGCATCACGCAGGTACCCAGCAGGTCCCAGAGCCTTTGCATCCTTCCAGGTTTATTCTGAGCAAATCATGCAGAGGGTCAGTGTATATCATAGAATTGGGTAGACCAGTGTGCTTATCTGTCTGCATGTCAGGTCACTTGGAGAAGCTACTTAAATTGAGAACAAGTCTCAAATCTCAAAGAGTAGGCCTTTTGGAAGTAGATAATATATAGATATGTTTTCAATGTGTACCGTAGAGTGGGAACTGACCCATAGCTGACCCTCCCGTGGGTTTTCAAAGGCAGTTGATCACTCAAGAGGAGACTGCCCATCCTCCCATGGAGCAGCTGGTGGCCTCAAATTGCGTGCCTTCAGGATTGCAGTGCAGCTTCTTACCACTAGGCCACGAGAGCGATAGATATAGATATAGAGATAGATATAGATAGATAGATAGATA